TAAGTTGGATGAATGCAGTCTAATATATCATCTAGCTATCGTGGCTATTCAATACTTTATCTATCGAATCAGACTAAGCATATTTCTTTCAGCGTATTTAGCTTTTATTTTTGCTTTAAATTGATTTAACCGCGTACCGCTCAGCTCGTTGCGCTTTACAGCAATGTTATGATTGTAGCACCACCCTATTTTCAATGTTGAGAGACGTTGTTTTCATTGATTAATTGCGCATTATTGTGGGGTGTGCCTCCGGCCCGAAGAAGCTCTGAAATTTCAGGTTTTCAAAAAAAAATTGGTGAGGCAAAAGAGGAAAGGGATGCACGTTAGGTTGAAATGTTCTTCTCCTCGACACTTCAGCAATTTCAGCGTTCTTATCCAATTTTTCAATCGCTGCAAGATCCACGCTCAGCTTCTCCACGAAATTCGGGTTCCTCTCCATGACCTTGTCCAGCTTGATCACAATGGACATACTATCCTCTTCACAGCACTTCTCAGAGTGGAAACACGCCGGATTACACAATTCAACATGCAGACAGTTTACCTGCTCCTGGGGGCGCTTGTTGTCAGCGCCAATGCCGCTATTGTCGCTCAGGAATAAGCTACACAAGCAACTACCACGTACTCACAGTGCTAACGAAGATAGAGAGCTACCAACTAACGAAACGAGAAGGAGGAGAACATGTTCGCACCCTCAGCTGTCGCAAATTGCGACTCGCAATCCTCAGAGGTCTCCTCGGGAAAATCACTGGTACCGTCATGAGCTGAAATGGACTCATCGTACGGCATCCCTCCGCTGGGCACTTTTGAGATGATGAGGTATATTGGACAACTTCTCCTAACGAGGATTGAGTCCTAACAACCCTACTTCCGTGGTTTAACACTCGGCCGCTTCCTCTCCACTATTCCCTTGTAGGCGTTGATCTATTAGTGCCTCTGTTGCATCTGTGTGCGTGTTAGCCCACTCAAGCATACATCGCGACACTAGTGTGTCGATATGTGGGAATCTTGCCTGAATTGCCTCTGTTTCGAGGTCGTGCGTCAGCTCTTCCTCCGTTACTGTCAAGGCCAGGGTGCGCGCTGCAGCGTTCCCCGACTTGCTCAAGAGTGTCCATGACGCGACTCGCACTCTGTCCGCGGTACGTCTGCACTTAAGAAACCACATTTGTAGTCGTCTTGCTTTTGGTGGCGCTCGAGTTTTAAGTACTCGCAGGATCAGCTCGTTGTCCCCAGCGACATGGATGCCTCTGAGTCCACGTGTGTCTGCAGCGCTGAGCAGATGATAAAGGGCGACAAAAGCAGCAATATTGTGAGTGCATGATGGCGATGGGAGTGAGAAACTTGTTCCCCACAGGCTCCCACTTAGTACGCCATGACGGGCAAGTACTGCTCCGGCACGCGCCCCTGCACGTGGAATTCCTTTGTATCCATGAAAGAAGCCCACCACATCATTTTGTAGTGCCACCGCGTGCACGGGGCACTACGACGCTTCTTTGAGCAGTTCACCGTGAATGTATGTCGAGACTTACCACTCCGCATACGTGTCCGGCGTCAGTGGCGTGTCCAGAGCGACTTGTCCGCTGGACAGTCTGCCTCCCCGTCAACCACTGCGGCGGGTAAAAAACTGCGGCAACTTGCACAGTGTCGCTGGCGGTCACACATTTATTCTCGTAGCTACTGCATTTATATTTGCGCTTGTCCGCACCATTGACGTGTATTTCAATGCGTGAGATCACGGGCTGCTCCTGACCAACACCACCACTGATCAGCCGCACCGGTAGCTACGGCACGTTCAGTGTCGTATCTGATAGCCAGCCGGTTAGTACGCAGTGTTGGACTTACGGATCGAGTGTTATAACTAGTTAGTTAGTACGGTAGGGACCTGCTGCATTTGTATTAATCGCGTGTAGCGGCATCTCCATGTTGCAGGTAGATTGGACTAAGCCTGTTGCTTGGTTTAGTGGTCAATGAGAGAACAATGAGTGCTTTTATAGCTGAAGTCATACATTATCTATCAAATGACTCTGCACGATTGATGTTTACAGTAATGTGCGACTAATATCCTTACATACATTATATACAGCTGTCAGTCAAGAACACAACTAACATTGATTTAAGTTAACTTTCGACAGGATCCTGGCGCTATTGGCTGGTTTCGCAACGAGCGCGACTACGTGATTGGCTAGTGAGGTCAGATCTAGCCAATCAGTGATTGAAGTTACCATTTGAATTCGGGCGCGAACATAACTCCTTCCCTCCTCCAAGCACAACGGAATCTGCCACAACACCAGCGCCCTACCCATCCACCCACCTCATGAGCTCCTCCTCCAAGACTAGAACTCGCCTCACCCAGCAGCAGAAGCTGCTTCTGATCAAGAAGGCTGAGAGCTCCCCCGCTGTCAAGTATGAAGACCTGGCCTTTTGGGCCAAAGTCGAGTTCGGTCCGCAAAGGCCCCCTGGGAAAGCCACCATCGGCCGCATCATCTCGGGGCGTATCGCGCTGTTGCGCCAGCCTCACGAAAGTGCTCAGCTCAAGAACAAGCCGTCTCCATTCCAGCTACAGATCGATCAAAACATCGTCGAGTTCATCATGCTTGCAGAGGCGGAGGGCATTTGCCTCAGCGGTGCAATGATCGTCTTCTATGCTACGGTGCTAGCCAAGAAGTTGGGCATCCCTAGACATACAGTCGACTTACTAACTGCCATGAAGTGGTGCGAGTCTGCGTGGGATAATGTGTCAGCTTCTACGATTCAGAAGTGCTGGTTGCACTCCACGCTCATTAGTAAAAGCAGTGTGTCATTTATTCTTGACTAAATCAATACATTGTTATTTCTTTTTCCACTTGTTCGCCTTAATAGCCTTTACACTCCTATTCATATCAGAGGTCCCTATTGACGCACATTACTGTACAGTAGAGGCAGCCACCTCGGTAATCTATTTTTTCTATCGTTAAATTCTGATCGGCAAACGCAAATTTTCGACTTAGCTCGCTCGAATGTAGCTATTTGGGGGGGCTCCACACAACCTGCCGCCACAGGTAACATTCACCTAAAATATCACCTTACGCGGGGTATGTGTATTCTTTTACTCCACTGTACTGCAGTTTGGCATGATATTTGTAAAAAACAAACCTCGTTTATCGATGAAAGTTGATGGATCGACTTGGTCAGGAATGCGCTAAGCCATTAATCAGGTCAGTGAATGATTCCAATCGTCCCTTAACTCTGAAATAAATTTCAGAGAACATTGAGCCAATAGTACCACAGAACCCCTCAACAAATGTCTGGTGATCTGAGTGAATATTTTTTAAGATAAGCTCAGGAAAGTTTAGCGTAACAGAGACAAGTAACTTCTAATACGACTCCTTCAAAGTGAAGAGGACTAGGCAATGCTTCATTATATAGAAATACTTAGTATGCAACTTCATATGTAGTACGAATTTGTTGGACAGCGGATGGAAACGAACTTAGTGGTGTTGGGCCGTACTTAGTGAGCAGACACAGTGGACGAACTCATCGAAGAGATAAGGCAACGTTGAGCACGAAGTTGAGAGAGGTGTACTCGTATGGCATAATTACGTTCGTATTGTGGCTTCACAGAAGCCGTAGCCGCAGCGCTTCACTCCACCGGACGGTTGACTTTGTGGGCGCTCAAACGGTCGACGTCGTGCAAGGTAAGGATGTCATTTTCAGTACGTTATGACGCTTTGCTAACATTTTGAACGTACCGGTAGGAAGCGCGATAAACGGCTTCCGAGTGTCCGTGTTCCTTGCTGCGTCGGCCACGGGCGAGGAGCTGCCTCCGTTTGTTGTTTTTGCAGGTGTGCCCGGCGGACCCGTATCCCAAGAGGTGTTCAACCCTGCTTTTGGAGCGGCGTCCGTCGAGCATACCGTGCAGACGAACGCGTACTGCGACGCCACGGTCATGCTGGACTGGATCGAAAGGGTACGTGTTTTGGTATGCTACGTGTGTTGACATTTACTAATTTGACTTGGTTTCACTATAGGTTTGGAAGCCGTCAGTCGACGGATGCAAACTACTGATTCTGGACAGCTTAACCCACCGGCGACCGTTATCCCGATTTTGCAGGGATAAGAAAAACCTCGGGGGAAAGTGCCGTTTCAAGCCATACGACCGTGGCGACCTTTCGAGATCCCGCCGACTTGGTTTCGGCCAATCAAATTGCTTTGCGGATTTCGTGCGTGGTAGGTCGATTCTCGCGCGCGAACGCGTTCGCGCCTCGATTGGGTGTCACGCGTGGTTTTACGTTTGAAAGTGCAACATGAGCACCACATTTTAGCGCTTCAACCTAATGCAAATTTCTGAAAATTAGCGGGAGGTGGACCGCGCATTATCATAACCAGTAATGTGACCATAGCGCCGCTCGTGTATTAGACGCTCACAGACCCATACCTTTTGGTGCATGCCTGCAAGTCTCGGCATGGGCTTGTCTTGGGTAGGTGTGGAGAAGTGCTGAATAAGAATTGTTCTCCGAGAAAGGCGGCTGGGCCGATCGACTGGAGGCGTGGGAGATCGGCGATCGAGAGACTGGCAGCAAGGATCTACGGATCAGAAGGAGTTCTTCGGGAGACCTCAGGTGGTCCGATGACGCCGGCGCGAA